CTCCTTTTTTTTTGTTGTTGTTTGTATGTTGGGTGTTTTTTTTGTTAATGCTAGTCAAATGAAGATGGAGAATAACATAAACTGCAAACACAGAATGGGGACTAACCCCACTATGTCAATTAAATGAACAGTCTATGGAAAAATGTTAGTGAATTCACTATTCATTTTACAACACTTCAGCTTGAATAGTATATCTGAGAAAGCTTCTTATGTCTACAAGAGGTTTTTCCAGAAGAGAACATTTATTATAGTTGTCTTGGCAACATGAGCTCTGTGGAAATAAAAATCAGAGCTTTTTTTTTTCTGCAAAGGCTTTGTTTTCAAACTCTGAAATAAAACAGAAGAAAAATAAGGCAACTAGATGAGCAGAACTTTTATTATCTAGTCTCCTTTAAATGCATGAAATGACCAGATCCATTACGTGTTAAAGTATTCCACCTTCTTTTGTGCTGGTGAAACCTAGAGCAAGGTACAGTCTTAAAAAGGAGTCAGAAGCATGGAGAGAACTGTAGGCAAGCTGCACAGAGCACACATTAAAACAGGGAAAGGGATAATTAGCTTAGAGGAAGAAGACCTTTGACCAAGTCAGAAGGAATTCAGAGTAGGAAGTAGGAGACTGAAGGAACTCACGATTGTGATTTTTCAAAAACTAAAATGTTGTTATAAAAAGCAAAGTTATAAAACAGTTATAACAGTTATAAAAAGAACAGTTCCACATGGCAACCAGGATCCCAGACTTGAGAAGCAAGAAAGACTGAAAAATTCAGCTGAAATGGAGCGAAATTTTAAGCTGCTAATTAATGTCTTTAAACAAGGTAACAAGTTACATAGAAAATATCTCAATATAATCAGTAATTTTTAAGCACAGACTAAAGAAGATATTTAGATGATTTGCTCTTTTACAGTCATAAAGAAATTGCTTTGAAGGTTTACAGAACTGTAAAACATTCTATCCCATCACACTCTTTTACTGGAAAAGCAGCAATCCCTTCCTGTTATATGCTGGATGAGCCTAGCATGAAGCAAGGTATTTACAATGCTGCCATCCATGTGCCAGACAAACAGGATACAGCTCCACCTGAGCAGGCACACAGCCTCTCCTAGAGAAGTTGCTGCTGTTGTCACTGCCTTCATATTAACATTTATTGAGAATCATGAACTTCAAATTGGGAATCAAAGTCTCATAACCTTTCTTCTCCTGTTATTTGAAGTAAAAGGCTCATTTAGCAGTAATTGAAAGGGAGAGCAGAGATGATGTGTGACCCTGAGGTAGCTGAGCCTTCAAGAGCTGCCCCTACTCCCATCAGTAGTTTTGGTCCAATACCACAAAGAGGTATTGAAACATTTCTAGCTATACAGCACATAAACCTAATGTCAACAGGAGACAGAAGGTACTGAAGTGGCTGAAAGACAAATTCATTGACCAGTAATTTCAGCCTGGATCTAAATTTCAAGAAAATTTTGTCTGTACTTTCCCAAGACCTCAGCCCTGCCATGTCATGCAAAGACCTTATTTCTTGTTCAACTTTCTGGACAGCAGCAGTAGTATATTTCTAGCTTGGCACCAGTCTAACAAGGAAAAATATTTTTTCTTCTTCAGTCAGCAATCATAAGTAAAATGACACAGGAAACAATCAACTAAAATGCACCTGACACCAACCAGATATCAACCAAATTGGACAGGATAAATGCCATTTTTGTGATTTTTTTTTTTTGATGCTGTTACATTTAAAACTAAACAGTGATCTAAAAGGAACAAAAAGGAGTAGTCAAGGACTGAAATTACTCTCAGTGAGATTTCAGACATTTCAGTAGCACTTTTTTTCAGAACTTTTGTCCTTCCTTGATCTCATAAACTAATCTCATTATAGCTAATGTTCTCAAAACACTCCCAAGGACAATGACAGATGAAACTTAACACAGAAGCAGCTGTCTGGGTAGAAATCAGTCAACGTGCCAGTAAAACATTTCTGTTCTATCTCAAAGAAAGGCTCAAAACCTTCTCATCTTCAGGAGCTCTTAATTTATTTCTGTAAAGGTTAAAAAAAAAAAATAAAAAGCCCCTGTGTCTCCCTGCACTTTTCTTTATTGACCTTTCTCCTTTATCACCTGTTAACCCAAGATGTAACAAATCACCTCTAAGTTGTAGGGCAGACATGCAGTGCACAGCTGTGATGTTGAAACTTGCTCTTGTCTTCATTTCAGAGGTAGTGAGGGACAGTAACAGCAGCTACAGGAAATGTTTTGGCTTTTCACTTGCGCTACACATCACACAGTACTGACGTGCAAAGGAAAAACCGCTCCAAAATACAACCCACTTGGCAGAACAAAAAGTATAAAGATGCAAAGGACATAAGGGCACTTACTGAAGCTCTGTAAGGCAAGAAAGGGTTATCCTACTTGAAAGTATTTTTTCAGGAAGCTGGTGTACTTGAAGATCATCCACTGACGCAGGTCTGACTGTTGTCTACTCACTGGTTGAGAATTTGCCTTGGCTAACCTTGTTGTATTTAATCTTTCTTGAGGTAACTGTTATCTTTCATTCTTCTGTGCTGCCCATTACTAAAGTATCTATGAAACTTAAAATTTGAGATGTACTTGTCTTCAATGCATCCCAGCAAAACTAAAATAAAGTACAATTTTCCCCATTTTTTTCCTGGGTAACAGAGACAAGAGTTGTTTAAGATTGTAGCTAGAATCCCAGGAAAACTGGAAGAGCGAGGAAAATAGCTCCACTCTTCCAGATTTCCATCTGACACGTGAAATCTCACTGCATATAATGTTTTTTCTCCTTTTTTCTCTTATTTACTATACTGATTTACAGTCTGTGTGACTCTTAATAGCAACAGTGACAGAGCAGGGGAAATAAAACCTAAGATACATTTAGATCTTCTTGATAGAAAAGAACATACCTCCTTATTTGTATGGGGATGGTTTGCAGTGCCAACAAAGTTTCATTATATTGAATCAAATTGGACTGTGTTTGAAGCAGGTGTTTTTAATACCTCCAGTACCTTATCCAGTGTGATGTGGCTGGATCATTCAAATATTCTCAAGCTGCAAGGCTTGTGTTTTTTTTCTCATTTCCAAGGTGGACAAATTTACACTTAGATGATAGAAGTAAGAAGGAAAATTGTGTTTAACTTTTAGTTGGAGAAGACAAAGGCTGAATTTTCACAATTGCGTGCAATAATGTGTTTTCAAAAGACTCTAGTCTAAAAGCTGCTCTTTCGCTTGCCATATTGTCCTCAGAGACAGATTTTGCTCATGTCAAGGTTGAGTGATCTCAATATCCAAAATGGCAGCATGATGACAGATAAGCACAGAAGAGAATGAGAAATAGAAGCACTTGCTCTCTATTTCAATCTCCTTTCATTTGATGCTTGCTGCTGATGACACTGTGGCTGAAATCATTATATTTCTGGTGCAGAACCTCTAGCTGCAGTTTCAGAGCTGGTAGGCTTAAAAAACAAAGAAAAAAAAGTGATGTTGTCCACTATTCTTCTGATTGTCAAAAGATGCATCTGCTTTACTAATGGAATCCAATTCAAGTTTGTTGGAGGAATTGCCATGCATGAGAAGATACGGCAACTATCAAAATAACTTCAACTTTACTCCAAACTTCAGTCTAGCTGTTAAAAAAGTGTGCAGAATGTGAATGCATTCTAGAGCATCAAAACAGCTACATGCATGAGAGACCAAATCCTATCCTGATATTAAGGCAGTGAAGTAAGCATCAGCTAGTATGAGAATGCCTAAGTAGAAGAGGTAGAAAAAGAAAATAAAATGTAATAACATGGTTATAAACACTCCCTTTGACTGGCTGCAGTCTCTCTCAAATTATTATACCTCAGAAACTCTAACTATTATTGATAATACTTTTTTCTTTCAGAATTCTTTTAAACATCACACCATAATATAGGACATAACAACTCAGGTGTTACAGCTAAAAATTGTCATCATTAGGGCTGTTATCATAATGCTGATACTTATCATCAAAGCAGAATAAAGACCGTATTAGTTGGTATTTGGCATTATGCAAGCACACCAGTGTTGTGATTAAAGTAGTGTCTTCTAAAGGTTTTGTGCTTTCACCAAGTGGCGACTTATTCTTGAAGGCATTTGCAAAGCATAATGTGGTGTGACAGTTACAATCCTGGAATGAAAATGTAAAAGATGCTACACTCCAGGTAGGGAAATAGCCTGTTAAGTGATTTCTCCACTCTTTCTTTTTCTGATTTTTCTCTATAGAGTTCTTCCCTTTGGTCTTACACTTGCTATAAACCTCACTGATAGCATTTTCAAGTGTTGGCATATTAAGAGACTTTTTTTAATTCTTTACATCTGCTAATTGAGCTTCTCTCCAAGTGATTGCTTTAAAAGCAGGGCCTATGTTCATCTAGAATTCAACATGTTGTAGTGTAGAGTTCAGATTTTGTTCAGTTTGTTAACCCAAGAAATGCTACATAACATTGAGAGCTCTGACAAAAACTCCTCTATTATTGGCATCTATAGAACCAGATTGTCAGAACTAGGGAACAGCTCTAGAATAAATAAATGCTTTTCTCAGGTCTTCACGTGTAAGTTATGAGTGACAGCATTCAGTTTATCTCAGAGCAACAGTAGTAAGACAAATTAATCGTTAACACATAGCTGTGATATTTTAAAGATCAGTCCATAGAGTTAAGGGGATATGTTGCTACTTTGCCATCACAATGAGGTAACAGTAAAGGTGCAGTAAATGTTCTAAGGAAAAAAATATTTCCTAAGTGATTTTTCATTATTGCTTGTCTATTGGGGAAGGTCACCATGAAAATAAGCAATCTCTAGGATAAACTAACTGATTTTGGACAGGTCCGTTGGCTGATCTGTTTCAAGACAACAATAAGACCCACAGAATGCAAGTCCTTCCTGGCAACAGCCTGTTATTAAAAACCACACCATTAGCAAACTTCTGGGCATAAAGGAGTCACACTGAAATTTTACTCAAAAGAGCCGAAGCAGGAGTGAACTCCTATGGAAAATACATAGAATTAGTAAAGCAAGAATATTCCATATTAAGGTTAACGTGAAGCCTTGTTTCCCTGTACAGCTGTGTTGAGCTAGCACATCAGTGCAGACTGTCAAATACTTTGTCATAATAGGTTATGCTCTTACAGGTCTGCACACATTTCTTCAGGAGTGGCTTTCAAGAACTGTTCTGTTGGAGCCACATCAAACACAGTTTTTCAAACCTATTGAAGATATTACTTCTCAGTGTGATTAATTAACAAGGTATGGGAGGAATCTAACTTCTTACCCTCAATCATTTGTGTTGCAAAGACATTAATGAAAAAATCATAGAAATTATATTTAATGATAGAATACCCCTCTCCTCCTTCCTCCCTCACTTCCCCCCAATCCCAATCAGAATTAGGGCTCATACAGACAGTAGTGCTGGCAAATAGCTTCAGAATTATTATGAAATGTTTAAAAGCCTTAACTGTCACTGTTCTGGATCCTTCAGGAGTGGTACCTAATGCCACAACAAAATTTTCTTTCTTGATTTCCAAAGAATGCAGGATCAAACCTACTGGGACTAATGTTTTCTGGTTAATTATACTACTTATTACGTAGCATAAAATGAATTAGAGGGATTGTTAATGCTCTCTACAAAACTGGTATCTTTGAATGTGAAATGAACTGAAAATTAAACCCAAAATTTTAAAGCCCTAAGAGCATTCCAATATTCTACTGTATTTGTATATACTGCAAACTATGTAACATTTATTCCTTATGTTTGTAATACATACTGTATTCTGATACATTCTAAATACAATGAATACATAATATAGCTCATAATGGGAAGTTTTGCTTACCAGATATGATTGTGCCTTGATAAAACCCCCACACTACTATGCATAAAAATCTCTTGTTAAAATACTGTTGGAATAATAATTTACACACAAAAAAATACCCATTAGCATTAGTGTTTTTCTTATTACAGCTAATGGCAAACCCTCATTGATTGCAACAGGAGTTCTTTTCAGAGAGCTTTTCTGCTTACTTTTACTGCAGGCCAAATTATACCTCTGTAATCTCTGGAACCCTTAGTATTTTCCATTGCCACATCAACAGCTGCCAGCCTTTTTTCAAGTGCCTGAGTCTCTGCTGATGTCCCCAGCCAGCTCACTCCACGGGGCCACATCTGAATATACACATTCTGCTGTTTGAATTGTCATTTCCCTCCCATCTAATGACTAATCTCTGCAGGTAATTATATCAATCAAATGAAAGATATATAGAACACGGATATTTATGTGTAATCTCTGCATACAGTCTTTTTTAGGATAATAGATCAATAAAATTGTAATAGGTCCTGGAGTAAAAAAAAGATAAAAAAGTAAAAAAGATGAAATATTTAAAAAATTACTTCCCTTAGTGTGTTTCTAAATTAAAAGGCTTCTAAACAAAAATATACCAAAAAGATTTACACAAGTTTACAGGGAAATTGCCATTTGAGGTCTCATCCAAACTTCCATCTGATGGCTATAGATGTAGACATACATCCTGTTTCAGACTGGGGTCTGGGATACCTGCTTTAAAGGAAGATGCAAGGAGCTATCCACATGAATGGGAAGTTCAGAAGAAAAAAACCCCAAACCTATAACACAATTACTTTCCAGGTTCTGACAAACCCTGGGCCATGAATGATTTCTCTTTTAGTTTGCCCTGTCAGAGAAAGGCACTGATTATGGCAAATTCTTGATGCAAGTTATTTTCTCCATTTCTATGCTAAAGTTTGTACTCTTTTCATTTGTTATCCTGAGTGAAATAGCCAACGTTTTGTTGTTTTTTTTTTTTTTTGTTAGCAATTCAGCATCTTCCATTTCTCTGAAGATGACAATAAGTTTGTTATTACAATGAAGTGATAAAATGTACAGTCCTTTTTCAGGTACGGTGCATCATTTATAGTGATGCCAGCTGGAAATGCCAAAGGTACCATTAAACAAACAGGGGGAAAACTCAACAAAGCTGCAAAACAACCAGGAAGATACACTTTCTGTTATTATTATTTAGTCTCTTTTAGTAAGGTATGTGTTCAGTGAGCTGAGCCAGAACAAATACTATCACCAAACTTCAGCTACCTCAAAAAAAAAATCTATTATCATCACAGAGACAGTCACAGCTTTACCAATGAAGTCTGCAATAACAGTGTACCTTGTAAAGAGATTTGTTTTTTTAAGTGGTAACCAGATAAAGAGTTGAAGCTATCATTAAATTGATAAGGCTGCTGACATAAAGTATGCAGACAATTATTTTAGTACATTGATGGCTATATTTCTCACATACAGTATTTAAGCATGACAGTTGCTCCTTTCTTTTTGATGCCTGTGTGATTCTCATCAATATTATTATTGACTATGCAGAACAGCATATAACCTTGTTGGATTCAGTTTGCAAATGGCTGGTCTCACACTGTTTTGTAATTATTATTTGTCATATATTCTGTACAAATTCATATTTACCTGCCTTGTTTTCTTCACATTCCATTAGGTGCTTCTGCAGAGCCTCAAAAACTGTGCTCAGTTGCCTGCTGTCTCACTGAAATAAGAACAAGAAACCTTGGGAATATATGATACAGGAAACCCACTTGTGGAATCAATAGCTTAAAATTTGCTTGATTTGGAGGTGCATGCAGTTCACATTCAACAGTCACAGATGGATTCATGCTCCAAAGATCCATTTGTAAAACCAAGTTTGCTCTTCATCCCCATAAATCCTGTAGCAATGAAGAGCATAAATGTTACATTTTTTGCTATAAAAAAATAAGTTCTTTTGTTTGTGAAACACAAAAGTATCTTAGGATGTCTCTTATATCTGTGCACATGCAGAATTAAACTGTTAGCTATGAATTACGTGAGCTACACACCCATATTTCTTTTCTCTTTTTATACTGCTTTGCATTTGCCAACCTACAACTTCCTGTAGTTGACTTGCAAGCTGATCACCTTGAAAAACTTTGGTCACCTCACTTTTTCTCTCTTTTATAGATAACAGGAATATGCTACTGGCAACCTCCTTCTGATGGAAAATTAAGCATTTACTCCTCCCATTTGTTTTCTGTTATTTGGCTCTTAATTCGTGGACTATTCCATTAATTCCAGGGTTAATAAACTGCCCTTATAGACCTCACAAAGGACCTTCTTTGCTGCTTTCCTAAAACCCTAGTATGTACTAATAATTTTGCATTCTTATCTCATGAGGCCTTTGGCAGTGTTAACAAACACAGAGGTGTGAGGTATTGCCAACCACTTTACATAGGTTCTTTCACCTCTTCTCTAGTATATTGCAGCTACCTGTGTGTCTACTAATTGCATTCTTTATTACAGTTTCTAATAATCTGTGTAGCATGCAAATCAGACTTAAAGTCAACCTGAAGTCAACCCTAGATGCAAGTGGTGGACATCCCAGCTGTGTCTCTGGTAACATTTTGGGGAACTGGTAACATACCACATTGTCACATAAACAATTTTGATGTAATGTCTTTTTGAACATGAAGGTAAATAATATTAGATCCTGGCACTCTTTACTCTTGACACTGGAAGATTTCTGTAAATAACCCTTCTTTTATGGTGTCTTAAGTTTAATATTTCTCCAATTAATGCCTGGTTTAAAAAAAAAAAAAAAAAAAGTACTGCTGGCAGAACTTTTTTGATGACCTTCTCCCTGAATACTGATGTGGTGTAACCAATATATACAGTTTTTCAGCAATGGCTTTTTATCTTCCCTGACCGCTCTTTTTATACCCTGGATCAACAGTCTGCTCCAAACAGCTCTCTCAAAATCTTCCTAAGTTCTGATGTGATAAAAACAGATTTTGTTACAAGGTTTAATATCTCTAACAGAATATACCAGTTTTAGCTTTAACTAGCAATATTCATGGTTGTTTGCAAGGAAATACTGTCTACTGGGAAAGACTGGGGTTTTTGTCTCTTCTTTTGTGTGTGGGGGGGGTTTTTTTGTTTTGGTTTGGTTTTGTTTCTGTTTTGTTTTTTTGGTGTTTTTTTTGTTATTTCTTAATTACTTCCTTTACATGGCTGCACAATCGTGTTGGCCTTTGAAGGTCATTAAAATAAAATAAAATAAAAAATAAAATAAAATTCTACTGCAGTGGTTTAGTTTCAAAATTTCCCCTTAAAAGAAATTCTTCTTTATAGAATTTGCTAGATCTTGAACTACTATATCTCATTTCAAAATGGCAAGTCACAGCACAGTATGGAATGCCATATCCCACATTATGCTCATCATGCCATTTATGTAAATGTCATAATGTGCCGTGAAACAGTGCATTGTTTTACTTTTAATAAATAAAACATTTCTTTAATGTGATACACATTGACATTTCTTATCAGATTCACTGGATATTTGCGATAGAAGTGAACACCAAATACAATTAAACCATTTAATATGAGGAAGAAGAAAAACAGATACGCATTCAGCGTACTAATTAGAGGAGCAGCTATTTTCTGGGTATGTCTCTTAGCCTGGAATAATTTTTCTAGGATATTCAAAACAGATGCTCTTTTAATTAGAAGCAGAAAATCTGAGTTTCACTAGCAACACCCAAGAGTACTTTTGACTGTAAAACACAAACTTTATGTAAGTTCTACCACCTTCTGTTATGTAAATGTCTACTTATGTATACATCTGCTAGATGGCATCAGCTCAGTGAGAATATGTGCCTCTCCCTGTGGCTGAGACAGTCTCCCCTGAACAGAGGAGGGACTACTAATCAATAAAATAGCATGAGCTGCTGTTCTTGAACAACAGTTGTTGAGACCTGCAGCTTTTTAAGCAGTGGATCCTGGATTCTAGTGCCTGTGCTGTGTATATGCAATTTAGTTAGCTGTTGCTGTCTATGACTATATATAGAAACAGATTTATTACTAGGCGGTGTGTTAGTAAGAGAGAAAATCCAGCCTGATAGGAGGAAAAATATTATTTCCATTGAGTACAAAAACATCTCCTGTAGCCTCCTTATCCTTCTCTCTTTTTTTATAGTCATGATAGCAGTGATAGATGCCTGAGAAATACCTAAGCCAGAATAAACCTCAGTAGAGAACCCAAAATGAAATGTGACCTCTCAAAAATTTTAATTTTACTACAGCAAAAATACAATAGCACCAAATTGCAAATGACAAGTTCACAGACATAAAGAAACCAAACCCATATTATCACCACAGGTCATTCCATGTCTAAATGTGGACAATAAGAATGAGAAGGGAAAAGCACAGCCTTGTTGCCAATACTGTCCCTTGAGGTCTGGGCAGCCATTCCAAAAATAATAGCTAGCAAGTCATAATAAAAAGTATGGCCTGGACCTTAACTCCTTTTGGCCCTACTTAAGGTAAAAGTTAAGTACAGCAATTTGATTCCTTCACAGGGCAGGTTTGTCCATGACAACATAGTTAGAACAATTCTTATCTTCTACATTGTTTTGACTGCCTGAAGTTGCATCCTGTTCACCACATTTCTAAAGGCAGAAATATCCTAACGTTTCAGCCTTGCCCTGTCCAAGTTTCGGTTGGAATCTGCAAAGTAAGTGTGCAAGAGGCACCCTGTTGGTTTAAGATGACACAATCAATCATGAGACTTACCTAAGCTTAGCCAAGAGCCAGTATCTTAAATATTGAGAGCCCTAGAATCACTGGTGTCTATCAAAGACTGGTTAGCTCCGAAAAAACGGGAAAGACAACTTTTTCTTAAGCTCTTAGTTACTTTAGAGAATGAGAAGAGAAAAAAGGTCTAATGAAATAGGGCTTTAATTGGCTCACCGGTGATAATGAGACCTGTGTTAATTAGCTTGTTCAATACCTTCTCTCTGGATTTAAATAAAAAAGGTTGGGTGTTTAGACTGTCCTGCCATATTGAACATATGTACCATATCCAGACTAGCTTGCAGACTGTGGCCCTAAGCACACCACAAGACATCTGAACTCAGACTGTAGCTGCTTGTTACTATAGAGAGGACAGTGTGGGAGGCAAACTGTAGAGTTTTAAATAGGTCTTTAAGACCTAGAAAAAAAGCCTGAGTCAACTGCAGAGAACAGGGAGAGTGAAGGGAAGGAAAACTGATATAGTGAGATGCATAAGCAGATTGGCAAGACTTGTGACAGTTGGTGCTTTCCTTAGAGCTTCAGCTTTCAGAATGAAGGGTCTAAGGAGAGAGATTGATTTAATTTAATATTAGAATACTTCTAGCTCCTGCCTAGGCCATTTCAACATTAAATTTGTAACAGACTCTCTGAAATTACCCATTAGTGAAAACAGTGAATCCTTTAGAAAAGGGATAAAAGTTCAGGAGATGTGTCATTTATACAACTTAGCTACTGAGCTATATTCTTTTCATAAATATGGTCATGTTTTGAGTGTCAGTACTACTTTGACAAAATAACATGGAAGTATCAAAGGAACCAGGAAGGCTGTGGAGCACAGAAAGCTAAATCATAATAAGATAAGAAAATATGGTGTTTTCTTTCCATTGTAGCTGCCCTGGTATGCAATATTTAAAAGTTAGCTTCAAATCGCATAATGTCATCCAAAGAGAATTTAGAAATCATTGTAGTTGGGGCGGGAAGTTCAAAGGTGCACTGTAGATGTGTTCTTCCCAAGGAATGATTTGAACTTTTCTAATGTAAAAATCTTTTCCTTTTGGAATTCAGAGAAATAAGTAGTGAATATACCCATGGTTTCCTGCTGATCAGTAGGACAGCTCTAAGGATCTTCAAGCGCTCTGCAAATACAAAGACAAATGATTTCAGTTACACACAGGAGTTGCAAAACCAGCCTTATAGCTACATTACAGAAGAATAAATGGTGGTCTGGGCATACCACATGACAAGCTCAAGGTCACAGAGGAAAGGAGGAACAGATCTTGGAATAAACCAGAACAAGCCTATAATTCCTGGTCCCTCTTGGTTGGCATTCTTTCCTATTCCTATGCTCAAGTCTGATGACTGTACAGCACTGTAAATACCAGCCAGTCCTTCAGTACAGAAGGACAGGGTTTGCTTTAATGCTATTTTTAGTTAAGCAGATCCCACTTTTAAATCTGCAACGCCTTCATTTTCAATATCATGATTATGTTTAATGTTCCATAGGAAGATGAGGGGATTAGTATGAATCAGAAAGCACAATGCAGCGTAGGCAGTACCATGCTGCCTTCTGAAACACCAGTGCAGAGCAAGTAGGAGCTTCGGTGGAGGCTTTACACGGGTAAAAGGCATTAGGCAGCTGGACGTGTCAGCTGGGTGCCTCATCAGGCAGCTGGTACGAGTGGAAGGTCAAGAGCACATTTACTGTTTACTGAATTTGTAAATTACTAATTATTCAGCTCACTAAGCAAGGCAGGCTCATTGCCTGTGCGTGATATTCCCCCTCCCATCAAGTCTAAGCGCATATGGACGAGTAGGAACTCTCAGCTATATTTTCATAGATGGAAGCAATTAAAGTGCCATAATAAAGGGCATAAAGAGCTATAATGGGTAGGTCACTAATAAGCATAAGCACACCTCCACGTTTGTCAGAGAACAGGTGTAGAAGATAAAGTCCAGCTGAGCACTGAAAACAGCAGTTCTGTGTCCGTAGAGAGCTTGGGGGATGCCTTGCTAACCAGAAGATGGTAAGAGGTGATGTGCATCCATGGGAAGCAGTGGCCTGAGAGAAGTTAAAGAGGGATCTTCACTCACATTCCACTGTGGGAGACAGAGACAGGAGCCAGAGAGACACCATCTTGGAACAGGGGAGATTTCAGACCTACTGGCCAGCAGAAACTGTGGGAGCTCCACCGCAAAGAAGGAGACTACCAAGAAAGGAAGTAAAAAAATTGACTGCAACATGAGGGTCAGAAAAAAATATTACATGGTGGGCCTTGAACCGAGAAAAGAGCTTTGTTCTTCCTGTCCTCTCTGTCAGCAAGAGAGATGATTTTGGAAATAAGCTATTCAAGAATTTGTAAGAAAGAGACCTGAGATAGAGTGTACTATCATCATGACTTGAAATATGAATCAACTTTCATGTCTTAGTCCAGTTAGATTGGGGCAGTCAAAGACAGCTGACATAAGGATGCTTGTGGTACTGAATAAAACTGAATAAAATAAATAAACTGAATAGAAGCAAAAGAAAGGAAAACTTGAGGAAACTATATCTAGTGCTTAGCTTGGAGTCACTTACATTAGCTAAGTGGCCAAATAGGCATGCCTTCCCCTCCAAAAGCGTATCCTTATAGAGGGAAATATCCACCACAAGAAGAATCAAAATGTGATACTTCTAGAATGAACAAGTTAAAGGAGAGCTCCCCTACCCAGTCCTTGGTTGCTGCAATATCTACCAAGACACTTTATGAAAATGAAAAAAAAGATTAACCCCTGCCTGTATTTGACTGCTCAGACAAGACTAGGAGTGAAGATTAACAAGTTACCAGATGTTCCCAGACTAAAGACAAGGAGGGCCATACAGAAAGCTCAAGAATAGAGGAATTACATCTAAAGTCAGTGGAAATAAGGATCAAGTATAGCAGATGAATGAGACTGTGTTTTCCAGATTGAAAAACAGAAGCAAATACTCTAGGTGGTAGGATGGACTTGAAAACAAACAAAATTTTAAAACCCTAAAATGTTTAATTCAGTATAAAGAAACAAGGCAGCAAGGCAAATCAGTCATTAAATCCAACACAGAGACTATGAATAAACTATACTGTTTCAGAAGTTCTACACCAGGACAGTTCCAAGCATGCCAGTCAAATCTATACATATCACAAGAAGCCAGGCTTTATAGGCAGTGTTCAGGTACTGGAAGCAGGGGAAGTGAAGTAATGGATTGGTGACAGGAAGAGTATTCTGCTAGATATGTCAAACAGAGATGGGGTTCGTGTTGGAAACTTTTATTTTTTAGTTCTGGCTCAGATAATTCTGCATCAGAAAAGGGATATACACCTGAGATGAGGTG